GCCCCAGCTCCGGCCGCGACCCGGCGAGCAACAGCTCGGACCGTGCGCCGACCACCGCGGGCGGCACCACCACGCCGAAGCGGAACCGCATGGCGGCTGCGGGCCGGGCCGTGGGGCGGGGAGCGGGGACGTCTCTCCTGGGGCGTCACGCGGCGGCGGATTCGGTTCCCAGCGGCGCCCAGTGCGGCTGTGGGACGCGCGCTCCGGACACCGGCGTCTCTGCGCCGCCACAGGCCGGGAGAGAGAAGACGCGGCCCAGGCCGACCCGCCATCCTTGCTGGAGATCTGAAGTTTCCCAGCCATGAAGGAGGAAATGGCATAAGCTGATGCCCAGATACTGAAGCCGGGAAGACTCTGGACTCAGCGAGCGCCCCACGCCTTAGTGTACATAGAAAATGGTCTTTAGAGACCGGCGGCTCCAAAGTGACAGGTGGAAGAGACACCGGAGACTCTGGACCTAGAGCTTGTCAAACTATTCTTTCCCTGCCTTCCCCAGTTTGATGTCTGGAGGGAAAAAATAAAGACTCCCATGGTCAGTATAGGGAAAATGGGTTTGGATGAAATACTTTCCTCTTCAAGATCAAAGCAAGACAAAAACTAATTCTGTGATGATAAATGTTTATACCTACACATATTTTATATATTTATAGACTATATATTAAAATTTATATTTCGTTATTTTTGTTATTTTTCTTTAGAAGACCGGGTCTTACTATGTAGCCCAGGCTGGCCCTGGAACTTGTCATGTATCCCTCAGTCTTGAAATGATTCTCCTGCCTCTGACTCCGGATTAGTCCAGCTACTTTCAAGCTTTTTAAATGGCATAAAAATAATCCTGTTTAGAATTTTCTTCTAGCAAATGCTAACACTGGTTTGGGGTCAAGAAATAGCTTTGTCTATTAGGCAAAAAGAAAGGAAGAAGGGAAAGAAAGACAAATGAAAAGAAAGAAAAAGGATACATCTCGCCAGGGGAGAGAGGGCCCTTTGCATTGCTACAGAAGAAGTGTCCTATTTAGATTTTTTAAATTGCTTTCCAGATACTTTCATATTCCTTGTATATTAACCATTTAACCTAATACACATCTCCTAAATGAGTTAAAAACACATTTGTCAGTATTTGGAAGCTTGTGTAGGAGAAAAACAAAATTTTATGCATGCAGAAAATCTAAGACAAAAGTTGAAAAATGTAAAATACACAACACACAATCTGCAGAACAGTAAACTAAAAATCTGCGTCACCTTAAACATTGATATTCCACTCTGTGTTTGCTTGGTTGCTAAGCTTAAGGACAAACACAAAGAAAAAATGTGAAGACAGTAAGGCTAGCCAAATGTGGCTGATTCAGTAGCAAAACAGATGTGAACTCACAGTGGCATGGAGTCAGTTTATTTAAGTCTCTGTTACAAAACATTCGTAGAGCAATTTTAGGAAAATAATAGTCATTTGGCCAAGTAAAGAGGACTCTGTCTACTTTGGAATTCGGAGTTCAGTGAATTCAGACTTGAAGCGGCACTGACCCTTCAGCTTTCTTGTGTGCATGGTCCTGCCCTATGCGGTTTCCACGTGGTCTTCCCACCCCGCCTCCAGGGTGAGCTGTGCCCATCTCATAGGTAAACAAGGCCAGAAAAAGAAAACAGTATGTTTGTTCAACAGACTTTATATTTTTCAGCATAAAAATGCTAAATAATTTTAACCATTGGATGAAGTACCTTTTTCATTCCCTAAACAGAATACCTACGAGCTTATTTCAGGCATGGATCTAAATATGGTACAAATTTTGATGGTTGCATGGTGTACCAAGCAAAGTACAAGTACAAAACAGAACAATAGCAAAATATGGATTAAATGACAGCTCTCAAGGCCTCAGTCGTATTTTAGTTGTCAATCATTTGCCTATATCAGCCACAACAATAGCCACTGAGATCTTATTATGTGCCAGACATGATTTTCAAACATAGATTGCCCCATTTAACTCTCTCAGTGGTCCGTGAAATAACTACGATGTCATCCCCATTTTCAGATGAGAGGAAACTGAGGTGTAGAAGGAACCTAAGCCATGTGCTAAAGGCGTCTGTTCCACCAACAGCTAAATATATAGAGGTAAGTACATATTTTGATAGGAAAGTTTTGTATAGAATACATTTAAATTCAAGTACATTTTTAATTAAACTTTCTCTCTCCTTCACTCTCGCTCTCGCTCTTCCTCTCGCTCTCTGTGTGTATACATGGAAATCAGAGGACAACTTTCAAGAGTTGGTTCTGTTCCACCATATGGGTCCCAAGGACTGAAAGTCAGGTTGACAAGCTTGGCAGCAAGTATTTTTATTCACTGAGAAATCTCACCAGCCTCCAAGTATATTTAAATGTTGGTTTTCTTTTTCTTCCACTTTTAATAAAAAGCTAACTTCTTGTAATTACTTCCTATAACTAATTTCATCCTTAGGAATGATAGGCCAGAGGAATCCTTAATGGAACTCTGAAGTTATCAGTGAGTCTGTACAGACATTAATATTTTGGTACTTAGCAAGGATTTGACTTTAAGTTGTAAGAAATTGAGAGATTTTTATGCCTTTATGCATGTATTTTGATTTGTTTTGTGTTTTTTGAGACAAGGTCTCATACAACCCAGACCAGCCTCAAACCCACTATGTACCCCAGGCTGTCCTTAAAGCTCCTGATTGCACCCCCCCACCTCATGTCCCAAGTACTGGGATTATAGGCTTGAGCCACTACATCCAGTTTATACATTTAATGTATTGATAAAAGAAACATAGATTTAGAAAAACATGGGGACGTATTTATCCAGTGATTAAACTGTGTCACAGTGAGATCTCTTTCTTGTGCTATATCAAATTTCCCCTTACATTTTAAAAAGTCATGTTTTTATTAAAAGGATTATTTATGAAACCCATTTGTTATCAAATTCTTAAGCCATAGGGACAAGCTGAACTTAGAGCAAAAAATGACCTCAGTAGAGTAACATAACTTTGACAGTTTTTGAAAGACCAACCCAATTTTTTGTAATTGAGTTATATTTCTATAATGCCATTTTTATATAACTATTATATTTCTTGGAGAATGGGTAATAAATTCAAACTTAAGAGTTTCAGGATCCCATTCAAATGTGCATTCTTTCAAAGTCCCCTTGGGGAAAGCTATGACTTGATTCTGTGATGATTTATGTTTCTGAAGCAATCTTTCGGTAGTCAGTGAGTTGTAAATCTTCCTTTATATTGTGTACATAGATACGTGCTGGTGTAAGCCACATTTTATTCAAATATTTCAAGGGAAGTTTTGAGTATTGGTTTATTATGCATAGAACATACGTAAAAGTTAAACACGTCATATATACTTTCTCAATTTTAAACCTTAAAAAGCAAAAACCAGCTGGGCGTGGTGGCGCATACCTTTAATCCTAGCACTCAGGAGGCAGAGGTAGGCATATGTCTGTGAGTTCAAGGCCAGCCTGGTCTACATAGCAAGTTCCAGGCCAGCTGGGGCTACAGGGAGACCCTGTCTCAAAAAAGATTGAAAAAAAAAAAAAAAAGCTAAAACCTTCAGAGAAAGTTTGAACAGCTAACTCTTTCTGTGTTGGAAAATGGTGAATTCAGCTACTTGAAACTCCTTTGTAAATTTGGGACAACAGAAAGAAATTATTTTTATCAAGGCTTTGTCCAAAACTCCTAACATTTCCCTACTATCTTAAAGATCATGGCTTCTTTTACATTCATATAGAAATCTCTCTCCAATAGATTCTGATAACTCCACTTCCCGTCCATCTCATCATAAAGAAGTCTTCCTCTGTACATCAGACACCAGCCTGTCTTTTCATGTTCTTTTCCCTATTTATGCTATATTTTTATTTATGTTTGTTCTTTTCCCCTTATTTATACTGTATTTTTATTTATGTTTACACTCTTCATTTATACTACAAAATATTAATTTAAAAACTATCCCAAGGGGGCTGGAGAGATGGCTCAGCAGTTACAATCATGTACTGCTCTAGCAGAGGACTAGAGTTCAGTTCCTAGCACCCACAGTGTGGAGCTCACAACTGCCTGTAACTCAACTCCAGGGATTCTGACACCGTCTTCTGGCCTCTATGGGTAACTGCACTTAAGTACACATACCCCCACACAGACACACATACATACTCATGAGTATTTTTTTAACAGCATTGCTAGAATGAAATTACAATATAGCATATGCCATTTCAAAAGACATTTCCTGCCCTTTCTCTGCATAGCTCATACCCCACCACCCTAATCAGTGTAAAACCCACACCTCCTCCCATCATGCCTCAACTGAGAACCTTTATTCCACAAGGCTTTCAGTTAGGCAGTGACCTAAATTGACTGTCTGGGGAGAGTGAGAGCCAAGCCAGGTGGCTGGACCTTGAGGTTAGAGACACCTGTCTAAAGCTTCCTTCAGATATAAAAAGATCCTCCTAAGCCTGTGTAACTGGAATGGCAGCTAGCTAAAGCCTTCCTTCTTTAACAAGGTAGAGAGCTTGATAATTTAAGGAATAGGAGAGTGGTAGCTGGAGGGTATGTTCTTCATGCTCTTAAAGGCACTCGCAAAGGCTTTGAGAAAGACGAGTGAAGGCTGCTGAGAGCAGAGCTTCCATTCAAGCAGTAAGACTCAGTGGGGAGCAAACCTGGCAAATATTTTTTTAAGAATTTGAACTGTCTTGAGATTGGAGATTTAGCTCAGTGGTAGAGCACTTGCTTAGCAAGGGCAAGGCTCTGGCTTTAGTCCTCAACTCTGGAAAAACAAAACAAAACCCAAAACAAAAATTGAACGCTTTGTAATTCACTCTTGGCTTATTTTTTCCTAACCTCTGTATGTGTGTTATAATAAAAATGAAACATTTTAAATTAAGCTGACCAGGCTCCTCTCCTCATGGACGCTCAGTGTGCAGTAGCAACAAACAGCAGCCTTTGTGGTAGTGTATGAAGCCTGATGCTTGTGTGGCACAGAAGGATCTTGGAGACAGTGGATGTTCACATCTCTAATCTCAATGTTTTCCCACTCCTAGATTTCAGACAGGTAAGCAAGGTGAGTTTGGGAAGGAAGTCCCAGGGCACAGTGGCCAGGGTTCACATTCGCTGGACCATCATGTCCATCCCTGCCAATCTGTCAAATAACAAATCTGTGATTAAGGCTCCATACAGAGCCAAGATCAAGTTGCCTGGCCTTTAGAAGATCCACATCTCAAAGAAGTGGGGCTCCACCAAGTTTAATGCAGATGAGTTTGAAAACATGGTGGCTGAAAAATGGCTCATCCTGACAGTGGGATTAAAAATACCCTCATCATGGACCCTTAAACAAGCAGCAGGCTCTGCACTCCTGAAGCCTTCCACTTCACTGAGTACCACACTCCACCAAGCATATTCGCTAATAAATCTCTCATCTGATCTGGAAAGAAAAAAGCATTTAAATATGAAGCAGTTTGGGCACAGGCAAAAGGCAAGTTTGAAACCATTGTTCTTTTAAGATTTATTTTATTTTTATTTGTATATATGTGTGTGTATGTATGTGTGTGTGTGTGTGTGTGTGCACCTTCATACACACGCCTGTGGGTGTCCTACAGAAGCCAGAAGAGGGTGTCAGATCCCCTGCAGCTTCAGATACAGGCAGTTGGGAGCTGCCATATAGGTGCTGGGAACCAAATGTGGGTCCTCTGCAAGAGCATCAAGAGTTCTTAACTGCTGAGCAATTGCTCAAGCCCTAAACCATTCTTTTACTTCCCTGTCAGGTGGAGAACGAAAAGAATCTAGAGAGGAAGGTCAGTGTTTCTGGTAAATGGAAATAAGAAGTCTTCAAAAAAAACCCTGCTGACCTTCAGTAGCAAAGAAAGGATAAACCAGAAGCTGAAGTTGACCTTGGTTTTCTCCAAATCTGTGGTTCTAAGAATTCACTGTTTCTTTAGAGATGCAAAGAGAGTATATGGAGAGTGTGATGTTTAACATTAATTGTCAACTTGATGGGATTTGGAATCATCTGGGAGACACACTTCTGGGCATACCTTGAGGGCACTTCCAGAGAGGATTAACTAAGAGGGGGAGACCCACCCCAACATGCAACACACCTTCTAGTGGGTGCCCAGATATGATAAATAGGCCTGAAGAAAACAAATGTCATGTGTCTGCTTCCACTTCTTCCTGAGCTAGTGTGTCTATCTCTGCTGCCCATCCTCTGCTAGATTCCAGAACCTTCTGCCTTCCAACATGCTGAATACCAGGGACTCTCCAGGTATCTTCCAGGCCTCCAGGGGGACTACTGAAGTATGCAGCTTCATGAACTTAGCAGTTTCTCAACCTTTTCAGCATTCCTGTAACCAATGGGGGACTACCCAGACCCAATTGTGTAAACCAACCTAATACATACCCTTTTATAATATATTCATATATATATATAATTTCTGTCAGCTTTGTTTATTCTAAAGATTCTTGCCTGATACAGGAAGGTAATGTACTCATATTCAATTAGTTGAGGCAATCATTTAGTTTAAGGAAGTTGGTCCAAGCATGTACTAAGTATAATTTCCCAAAATTTTTCAGAGTATAATTTTCCAAAATGACTCTAATGTTAACTAATGAAGGAATAAGCAGGTTGGCAAACTAGTTTAAAGAGAATTCAAGAGATGTGGAAATAATCCTAAACAAAGATTACTAGGTTACATACAAAAGCTAACTTCTTCCTGGGCTATTAAATTGTATCTTCCTATCTGTTCTACCAAAGAGAAAGTACTTTCATCTTTAACAGAAAAGTACCTGTAAGATTTCATACATCGCTTTGGAAGCTAGCCTTTCTCAGTAATAAATAGTAAAATATATCAGAACATGAATAATTTTATGAAGAATGAAATAATTCTCACCTGGACAAATCCTAGGACCTTGGATCACAGGGTAGCTGGGGCAGAAGGAGCACAAGAACTTCAAGGCCAGCCTGGGCTACAGAGTGAGACCCCCCCTCAAAAACAACAACAAAAGAAAAAAAGAGAGGAAAAAGAATAAAGTATTCTCACATGAGTTTTTTGGACAATAATCCATATACAGGGCATTTAATCAACCTGACATCTAAGTTCCAAGTTTGGATACATTTTCTCAATGTAAAATAATAAGAAAAATGTCTGAGTTTCTATCTAATATGTCCTGGCACTGTGCTAGATGTCTTACATATTTTATTTAACCCTCTCAACCGTATGTGACCTAATTATGATCTCTATTACAAATAAGTTTTTGAAATATTAAATGATTTGCTGAAAACTTTATAGCTAATAAGTGGCAGAGTACTTGCACCAAGGAATGCCTGACCTGCAGGCCCTCCAGTCTAGGCCACTCCTTTCTCTGTGAGGTTGTGAGCTAGGACAAAGCATTTCATGTCTTTACCTCCTGGTAAGTGTGAAGTCAAGTGAAGAAAGGCTTATCACTTGCAGAAAGTTAAGAAGGCACTGGATAGCTCACAAAGCATCCCCCTGTACAAATGAAGCCGGTGGCTTTTACTGGAGAAAGCTATCTGATAGGAATGCTAGAGACAGGCACATTCCTGGGCATGCCCAGTTTGAGCTCATTCTTTGCATGCTCAAAAATATGTCAGAAGGCCGGGCTTGGTGGCACAACACCTTTAATCCCAGCACTCAGGAGGCAGAGGCAGGTGGATCTTTGTGAGTTCGAGGCCAGCCTGGTCCACATAGTGAGTTCCAGGAGAGCCGGGGCTACAAGGAGACCCTGTCTCAAAAAGACAGAAAAAAAAAAAAAAAAAAAAAAAAAAGAAAAGTCAGAGATCTTAGTGTTACAATGACCAAAATTTACTTTGGGTCATCTAAAGAGAGTGAGTCAGGTTGCCTAGTTCCTGTTAAGTTATTTGGGAAGGCCTTATCTGTAGCAAATAAATACAATCTGTGCAAAGCATCTACAACCATTCAAAGGGTCAGCAGCATTGTCCTGCTGCAGCCATGGGTGATTACCCCTTGGCCTAGAGGGAAATAAGATAAAGTACCAGCGCATGGAGGCCTTTTAGCAGCTGCAACTTCTGTTCCCTCAGAGGAAAGTAATCCCAGTGGCCTTAGAAACCTCTTCTCTTGCCTTTAGCACACACCTGACAGGCAAACATGAGATTTTAGTTGATCAGATGCCCAAATGAAAAACTGGAAAATTTGGGCCAGCGAGATGGTTCAACAGGTAAAAGCCCTAGCCACCAAGCCTAATGACCTGAGTTGGATCTCCAGGACCCACAACGTGGAAAGAGAGAAACAGCTCCTGCAAGCTGTTCTCTGACTGCCATAAGTTTATACATGTGTAAGTGCACGTACACACATACAAGTACACAAATGTTTAAAAAACTGGACACTTTTATGCAGATGTCTGCATTTTTGTTACACTTGAAAAACCAGAAATCTTTGCAAGAAGGGACAGCATCCCTCAAGGCACATGGGCTTGACTGCCCTGACAGCCGTCTCTCTATCAGTCTCTATCACTCAAACTGTGTTCCATAAATTAAGGCCAAGGTGCTACTTGTTTTCCCATTGGAAGAGTTTTGTCCCTCACCCCCTAGCAAATAGCATTTTTTAAAAGTAGCATGGATATGGAGTTTTCTGGAACATTCATTTATTGTCTGTGAGAATGTAAATAGTTAAGTCAATTTGAAAATTTTTCAAAGTGTTAAAGATACGGTTTACCACACAATCCATCAATTCCTTTACTCTACAAGAAATGAAAGCATGTCATTCAAAAGCTTTTACACGGCAACACTGCTCATGATAACCTCAAACAATACAACCCAAATGTTTATCAATTAATAATTGGATTGACAACTGTTTTATGTTCTTAGAATGGAACCGTGTAAGAGAGATGAGGTATTGACGTATGTCATAACACAGGTGAATCTGAAAAGATGATGCTAAGTGAAATATTCGAGACACAAACACCACATACGATATGATTCCATGTACATGAAACGTCTAGACTAGGGAGGCCTGTCTAGGAGGAACTATGTTATGTGTTGCCTAAGACTTGATGTGGGATCAAAGAAGAATTGGAAGCAACTGCTAAAAAGTATAGGGTTCTTTCAGGAGGTGATGAAAATGTTTTAAAATTAATTGCAATGACAGTTGCACAACATTGCAAAAATGCTAAAACGTCACTGAGCTGTATACTTTAGTAGATGACTTACTTGTATGGTATATCGCTTATATTTTTCTAGTCCATGTGGCCCTTTTGAGTTATATGAATTTTGAACCCCTATGTTTTAAAAAGTATAGGGTTCTTTCAGGAGGTGATGAAAATGTTTTAAAATTAATTGCAATGACAGTTGCACAACATTGCAAAAATGCTAAAACGTCACTGAGCTGTATACTTTAGTAGATGACTTACTTGTATGGTATATCGCTTATATTTTTCTAGTCCATGTGGCCCTTTTGAGTTATATGAATTTTGAACCCCTACGTTTTTGAGACAGAGAGAGAGAGAGAGAGAGAGAGAGAGAGAGAGAGAGGAGAGAGACTGCTATGTAACCCAGCCTAGCCTCACTCTCACAACAATCTTCCTGCCTCAAGCTCTCTCCTGCATGCACCACCACACCCAGCCCTAGAACTTTCAGTGGAGAATGCCTATAAAACTACTCAGAATTTAGAAAAGCAAAATTCATTCCCTCTTCCTTACAAAAGATACTGATTTATACTTTGTGGTTGTAGATGCAAACAATAACTTTTAAGTTTTTCAAACTCTTCCTCCAAAGACATCTATTTATTATAAAGCATCTAATTTCTAAATGCTGTTGAAGAATTTTATACTGACTTAGGTGACTTAGAACATACAAACAAATCCCAGGTGTGCTTCTTATCCTCAAAGAGCTCAAGTATTTGTTGAATATAAAAATCTGTTGTGCTATTTAACGACATTCTTATATAATATGTATTCTTATACTTAGGAAGAATAAATTTTGTTCAGTCAAAACAAACACATGAAAAGTTGAGTGGCAGCATGATCTTTTAA